ACCACCACCTCTGCTGTATGGTGTGTGTGTGTGTGTGTGTGTGTGTGTGTGTGTGTGTGTGTGTGTGTGTGTGTGTGTGTGTGTGTGTGTGTGTGTGTGTGTGTGTGTACTCACCTAGTTGTGCTTGCGGGGGTTGAGCTCTGGCTCTTTGGTCCCGCCTCTCAACTGTCAATCAACAGGTGTACAGGTTCCTGAGCCTATTGGGCTCTATCATATCTACACTTGAAACTGTGTATGGAGTCAGCCTCCACCACATCACTTCCTAATGCATTCCATTTGTCAACCACTCTGACACTAAAAAAGTTCTTTCTAATATCTCTGTGGCTCATTTGGGCACTCAGTTTCCACCTGTGTCCCCTAGTGCGTGTGCCCCTTGTGTTAAATAGCCTGTCTTTATCAACCCTGTCGATTCCCTTGAGGATCTTGAATGTGGTGATCATGTCCCCCCCTAACTCTTCTGTCTTCCAACGAAGTGAGGTTTAATTCCCGTAGTCTCTCCTCGTAGCTCATACCTCTCAGTTCGGGTACTAGTCTGGTGGCAAACCTTTGAACCTTTTCCAATTTAGTCTTATGCTTGACTAGATATGGACTCCATGCTGGTGCCGCATACTCCAGGATTGGTCTGACATATGTGGTATATAACGTTCTGAAAGATTCCTTACACAAGTTTCTAAAGGCCGTTCTTATGTTAGCCAACCTGGCATATGCTGCTGCTGTTATCCTCTTGATATGAGCTTCAGGGGACAGGTCTGGCGTGATATCAACCCCCAGGTCTTTCTCTCTCTCGGACTCTTGAAATATTTCATCTCCCAAGTGATACCTTGTATCTGGTCTCCTGCTTCCTACCCCTATCTTCATTACATTACATTTGCTTGGATTAAACTCTTAACAGCCATTTGTTCGACCATTCCTGCAGCTTGTCCAGGTCTTCTTGAAGCCTCAAGCTGTCCTCCTCTGTCTTAATTCTTCTCATAATTTTGGCGTCGTCAGCAAACATTGAGAGGAATGAGTCTATACCCTCTGGAAGATCATTTACGTATATCAGAAACAAGATAGGTGCAAGTACAGAGCCCTGTGGGATTCCACTGGTGACTTCACGCCAGTCTGAGGTCTCACCCCTCACTGAAACTCTCTGCTTCCTATTGTTTAGGTACTCCCTTATCCACTGGAGCGCCCTACCAGTTACTCCTGCCTGTTTCTCCAGCTTATGCATCAAGCTTTTATGGGGTACTGTGTCAATGGCTTTCCGACAGTCCAGAAAATGCAGTCCCCCCACCCTTCTCTTTCTTGTTTAATCTTTGTCACCTGATCGTAGAATTCTATCAAGCCTGTAAGGCAAGATTTACCCTCCCTGAACCCATGTTGATGGGTTGTCACGAAGTCTCTTCTCTCCAGATGTGTTACTAGGTTTTTTCTCACAATCTTCTCCATCACCTTGCATGGTATACAAGTTAAGGACACTGGCCTGTAGTTCAGTGCCTCTTGTCTGTGACCCTTTTTGTATATTGGTACTACATGAGCAGTCTTCCATATTTCTGGTAGGTCCCCCGTTTCCAGTGACCTACTATACACTATGGAGAGTGGTAGGCAAAGTGCTCCTGCACACTCTTTCAACACACACACTCTGTGTGTGTGTGTGTGTGTGTGTGTGTGTGTGTGTGTGTGTGTGTGTGTGTGTGTGTACTCACCTAATTGTGCTTGCGGGGGTTGAGCTCTGGCTCTTTGGTCCCGCCTCTCAACCGTCAATCAACAGGTGACACAACAGGTGTGTGTGTGTGTGTCGGGGGGGGGGGGGGGTGATGTCAGCGCAATTTCTTACTAAAAATATACATGCTTAAATGTATTTACGCAGGCCGAGCTCTGCCTCCTTGACCCCGCCTCTGAATCATCAGTTAACTGGTACATAGTGTCCCCCTCAAGTGTATTATGGTGTATCCCTCAAGTGTGCTTCAAGTGTATTCGGGTTGCAGGTGTAGGACGGAGCAACATATCCTTGCATGTGTTGCCACGTGTTCATTGGCCCATAATATCGGTCCGGTCCTGTCCCGGTCCTCCAGGGGACCCTTAGTATCTTGTAAGTCGTGATCATGTCCTCGCTGCTGCTACTACTCCTCCTATCCCAACCATTCAAATGTATTTCGGAGTCGTGACAACTGAGGTAAAATGAATTTTTCAAATGCGTAATGTAAAATGTAATTATTCATTTGACGAGCGATTGTGCAATTGCGTCATATATTTGCAATTTATTTCACTAATTAAATAACGGCTCACATGGAAACATACACATGAATTTTGGCATGAATGTAGTTTATTATTGTTTGTTGTTACGCGATATTCAAGGTAAAGGTGATACGACGGAAGACAGGTGTGACAGGTGTGACAGGTGTGACAGGTGTGACAGGTGTGACAGGTGGGACAGGTGGGACAGGTGTGACAGGTGTGACAGGTGGGACAGGTGGGACAGGTGGGACAGGTGGGACAGGGGGGACAGGTGTGACAGGTGTGACAGGTGTGACAGGTGTGACAGGTGGGACAGGTGGGACAGGTGTGACGGTGGGACAGGTGGGACGGGTGGGTGTGACAGGTGTGACAGGTGTGACAGGTGGGACAGGTGTGACAGGTGTGACGGGTGACAGTGTGACGGGTGACAGTGTGACGGGTGACAGTGTGACGGGTGACAGTGTGACGGGTGACAATGTGACGGGTGACAATGTGACGGGTGATAATGTGACGGGTGACAATGTGACGGGTGACAATGTGACGGGTGACAATATGACGGGTGACAGGTGATAGGTGTGACGTATATATATACATATACATATATATATATATATATATATATATATATATATATATATATATATATATATGTATGTATGTATATATGTATGTATATATGTATATATATATGTATATGTATATGTATATGTGTATGTATATATATATATATATATATATATATATATATATATATATATATATATATATAAATAATATATGTATATATATGTATATGTATATGTGTATATATATATATATATATATATATATATATATATATATATATATATATATATATATATATTATTCTACTGCATTTACTCTCTCTAAAATATTTGAGTAGTTTATCATTGCAGGTCAAAAGTTTGTAATGACCCGGAAGCAGTAAGGTTTTAATACTTGGAACTTGGAGAGAGAGAGAGAGGGAGAGAGAGAGCCTAGAGTTCACAGATGAAATTGACATTTTGTTTAACCTGTACACCGACGGCTCAGTCCAATCCTCTACTGGACGGACTGCAGCCGCATGTAGGTTTTATAGAAATAATATTTGCACAAAGACTGTCAGTGTCAGGTTAAACAACTGGCTGACCTCCACACAAGCAGAACTAGCAGCATTACACCTAGCTACCAGTACATTAAAAAACATTGGAGGAGGAATAATATTCTGTGATTCAAAGTCTGTTCTTCAAGCAATCGAAAACTTCTCTTGGAAGATCAACAGCAAGAACCTCATACTCCCAATTATAAATGACCTAAACCCGTAGCACACAACCTTCAATAGTCTCATAGTGAACTGCCTTTCTTAAGAATATCACTCCATCAGCGAGCATTCATTCCTAGGCTGACTCGCCTCTAGAACTTGCTCGCCTCTAGAACTTGCTCGCTCAACAAGTTAATACACGGAAGATCAGGTCAACTGATCACATGAAGGCTCTCGTACACAGTTGGCTACAGTCTCATCCTGTTCATTATATGAGTATTACCCAAAGTTCTCAATTAATAATGTTTATTCATATTCATGCTTATTATAGGCTCATGAAATAAATTGGTTCCTAGGAGTAGGTTTCAACTGAGCTTAGGTAGGATTATAGCTCTTGCTTGCAGTTTCACACGGTTCCTTATATGATAATTTCCTATGTGATGGTTTCAAAGCTCATTCTCATGAAATAAATTAGTCTCTAGGAGCAGGCTTCAGATGAGCTGAGGTCGGATAAAAGTTCTTGATTGTAGTTTAACACTAGTCTTAGTTAAAAAAAAAAACAAGAACTGTACGTTGGAAATTTTTAAAAATAACTTCCCTGATAACATATCAATTCCACTTCACTTGTTCACTTTCTCGTGTCATGATCGTACTGAGAGGACCCGACGCCTGGTGTCCGAGGGGACCCGACGCCTGGTGTCCGAGGGGACCCGACGCCTGGTGTCCGAGGGGACCCGACGCCTGGTGTCCGAGGGGACCCGACGCCCGGTGGCCGAGGGGGACCCGACGCCCGGTGGCCGAGGGGGACCCGACGCCCGGTGGCCGAGGGGGACCCGACGCCCGGTGGCCGAGGGGGACCCGACGCCCGGTGGCCGAGGGGGACCCGACGCCCGCAGTGGCCGAGGGGGACCCGACGCCTGCAGTGGCCGAGGGGGACCCGACGCCCGCAGTGGCCAGGGGGACCCGACGCCTGCAGTGGCCGCGGGGGACCCGACGCCCGCAGTGGCCGAGGGGGACCCGACGCCTGCAGTGGCCGAGGGGGACCCGACGCCTGCAGTGGCCGAGGGGGACCCGACGCCTGCAGTGGCCGAGGGGGACCCGACGCCTGCAGTGGCCGAGGGGGACCCGACGCCTGCAGTGGCCGAGGGGGACTCGCGTATTTGTGCCGATAGAATCCAGATTTAGTTTTCGGAGTCCAGCTTTCTTTATCTACAAAAGTCAATGTAATGTACTACAGTCCGTAGTAGCTTTTAGGGACGAGAGCTTTTTGAGGGGTGGGTGGCACATTAATCCCTCGCGTCTGGGACAAGAAGCCTGTGTGTATACGTTAGGCTTGTATCGAGGTTCAACTCCCCCTCCCCCCTCGGTCGGACTACTGAAGTTCCCAAGATGCAACCCCCAAAACAGCTGTTTTAACTTCCGGGTACGTATTTTGGGCTAGGTGAACAGAGGCATTAGATGAAAGGAAACTTGTCCAACCAATGCTGCCTGACCCGGGATCCCTATTTGAGAGTTGAGAATGAAACCACCTGTACTAGAGCACCCTCAGAGAGGAGAGAGAGTGCCTCCAGCGCTCACTGCGGGCCATCAAGCACCCGTGGAGAGTGCCAGGGGGGCCCACTCTCACCAGCCGGCGCCCCACTCTCACCAGCCGGGGCCCCACTCTCACCAGCCGGGGCCCCACTCTCACCAGCCGGGGCCCCACTCTCACCAGCCGGGGCCCCACTCTCACCAGCCGGGGCCCCACTCTCACCAGCCGGGGCCCCACTCTCACCAGCCGGGGCCCCACTCTCACCAGCCGGGGCCCCACTCTCACCAGCCGGGGCCCCACTCTCACCAGCCGGGGCCCCACTCTCACCAGCCGGGGCCCCACTCTCACCAGCCGGGGCCCCACTCTCACCAGCCGGGGCCCCACTCTCACCAGCCGGGGCCCCACTCTCACCAGCCGGGGCCCCACTCTCACCAGCCGGGGCCCCACTCTGCTTATCTCCTGCATAAACAGGTACACGAGTTTCACCCTGAGTCTCCAGTTACCTTCCTCTTTGTAGCCAACCAGCGGATCCTCTCAGAGTAGAGAGAGTGCCTCTCTTCCTGCTGCTGCCCCCCCTCTCCTTCCCTCCCCCCCCCTGTTCCTGCCCCCCTCGCTCCTTCCCTTCCCCTCTTCCTTCCCCCTCCCCTCCCTCCCTGTTCCTGACCCTTCCCTCCCTCCCTCGGTTCCTGCTCCCCCTCCCTCCCTTCCTCACCCTGTTCGAGCCCCCCTTCCCCCCCTCACCCTGTTCCCTGCTCCCCCTTTTCCCCCCTCACCCTGTTCCTGCTTCTCCCTTTTCCCCCCTCACCCTGTTCCTGCTTCTCCCTTTTCACCCTGTTCCTGCCCCCCCCTCCCTCTTTCCCCCTTGCTCATATCCCTATTTCCCCCTTGTCTTTCTTTGCTCATTTCCTCAACTCTTCCAGCTCCTTTCCCTTTCCATACTTTCTCCCCTCTCCCGACTTCTCTCAGCTCTCCCCTCTCCCATTAAGATTCTCCTGAGTGAGTAAACACATAATCCCCACCCCACTCAGGTCATCCACTTAACCAATCAGAATTCGCCTTTGTGAAGCGCTTCAACCAATGGCTTTTCGTCATGTTTGTGTACACCTTGCCTAAGTGCTCACGACTCATAAGACGATGGTGATTGGTCCAGAGCTGCTGTTAACCTGGTCATTCCTCGGCGGTGATTGGTCCAGAACTGCTAAAAATGTCTTTATTATTTGCAATAAAAATAATTCATTGAACTACGTAGTTTGTTGACACGTCGATTGTCATTGGTTCCCGTGATTGTGAATGGTGGAAAAAGCTTTAATCCGTGTAGCATCTTGCGATGTAGTTGAGGACCATTGATCAATTAGCTTCTAGTGGCGTATTTGAGGATAATTGATCAATGCCATCTTTGATCGAGGAAGGTTAATTATAACTGATAACTTCTCGGGATTAGTTTGTGAACATTTAGTGAAAAATTCTAATCCCAATTCCGTAATTGGTGTGGAAATGTGAATATTTTATTTTGTTTTCGTAATAAAGCAAACAGAGAAGTTGGTATAAGGAAAAAATCGCACTCTGATTGGATAAAGCGTGACTGGACCCAACGAATCCTGAACCTGGAACTTTTTTGGGGGGTGGGGGGGTGGGGGGGGAGGGGGGGATTGTAAAGAGGATGGAGAGGCATAGGTGAAGGGAAGTTTAGAAGTGGGAAATACAGTGGGAGTTATGAAAGCAGGCGGGCTGTCCGCCTTGCTGACACGATGTGTGTGGGTGTTGGCAGCTAAGCTTGTTCTATTTTGTCAGGGAGCTCTGTGTGTGCGCTTACCTAGTTGTGCTTGCGGGGGTTGAGCTCTGGCTCTTTGGTCCCGCCTCTCAACTGTCAATCAACTAATGTACAGGTTCCTGAGCCTACTGGGCTCTTATCATATCTACACTTGAAGCTGTGTATGGAGTCAGCCTCCACCACATCACTCCCTAGTGTGTGTGTACTCACCTAATTGTGCTTGCGGGGGTTGAGCTTTAGCTCTTTGGTCCCGAGCTTTATCATGCTTTATCATAGACACATACATGTGTCTGTATGTGTGTGTGTGTAAGATTCTTCATGAGAATTTCAACATGTATGGATTTCTATAGATGAATACTGTCACTTTTCAGTTTAATTTTGTGACCCAGTTTAGCTGTAAAAGATGGAAGAGAGGATTGAGGATGGAGAGTGGTGAGGGGTGATAGGATGGACAAGGTTGGAGAGGATGGAAAAGTGTGAGGGAGAAGGGGATCAGGGGAAGAGCGTGTGGAAGGGTTTGGGTACACAGTGTGTGTGTGTGTGTGCGTGTGTACTCACCTAGTTGTACTCACCTAGTTGTGTTTGCGGGGGTTTGAGCTCTGGCTCTTTGGTCCCGCCTCTCAACCGTCAATCACAGGTGTACAGATTCCTGACCTATCGGGCTCTGTCATATCTACACTTGAAACTGTGTATGGAGTGAGCCTCCACCACATCACCCCCTAATGCATTCCATTTGTCAACCACTCTGACACTAAAAAAGTTCTTTCTAATATCTCTGTGGCTCATTTGGGCACTCAGTTTCCACCTGTGTCCCCTTGTGTGTGTTGTGTGTGTGTGTGTGTGTGTGCGTGTGTGTGTGTGTGTGTGTGTGTGTGTGTGTGTGTGTAGAGGGGGGGAGGCGTGACCAACTGTATTAATGGCTATACTAATGACCAGTATAATAGGGTCGAACTAGCCAGGTCTTCAACGCATCCTCCGATTAGACAGTACGTTTTAATACTAAATATAAAGTACATACCTTACTGTCTGCATAGTACATAAATACACTTAATTGTGCCGTTACATTTACCTCCCCATATATTCTCATTTTCTGTTAAGACATTCAAAATTTTAGAATGTAGTTTTCATGTTCAACTCTACATACACACGTCTTAAAAATAAAGAATTTCTTTTTCAGTTTTATTTAACAATAGAGATTTTATTCAAAATTTGAAAATATCATAAGTTCCTTTATAATTTATTGAAAGATTTCAGTTTTGTTTGATTAGTTTTATAAAGTGTAATATCAATATAGCTATAAGTTAAATACTAATTGTAATTAAGAAGCTATAAAATGCTTGTCCTCCTACTCTAAGAAGGTTAGGTTAGGTCGTGGTTTTCTATACAGCTTTTCAGGTAAACTCAAATATTCACAATATTTTGATGCGATTCTGGCGATTAAGTGTATTTATGTACTAAGCCGGTAGTCAAGATTGTACTTATTACATTTAGTATTAAAACGTACTATTTATTCAGATGGGGCTGAGGTCTTAGTGCCTCAAACCACGGGAAGGTGACAAGCACCACGATGGCGGCTGCCGCTGTTTCTAATCGAATTAGATTCAGCTACTTGGAACTAAATGTTCCAAGTAGCACGGACTATGGTGAGCCCGTTGTGGACTTACCTGGCACAGGAGCGGGGCTGTAACGTAATTTGTGTGTTTCTAATCGTTAGTGACAAACTAAGGCTAACTGGACGATTTATTGATCACTGGGAAGAGTGATGGATGGTTAGTGTGTGAGAGGCAGCAAGGAAGGGGAGGTGGAAGAGGGCGGTGAAAGTGAGTGGAAGTGGGAGGGAGGGAGGGTAGGAAGGAGAGGGGGAGGGAGGGAGGGAGGGAGGGAGGGAGGTGGTGAAGCATGATAAAGCTGCCGTTGGGATTTTCATCAACAAGTGGAATCCCAAGCACGCCGGACAGTGGATGACTCACTCTCTCGTTAGGCTGGGGGCGATCTTGTTGGCGCGGTACGACGGTGATGGTGGTGATGGTGTTGGCGGCGGTGGTAGTGGTGGTGGTAGTGTTGGTGGTGGTGGTAGTGTTGGTGGTGGTGGTAGTGTTGGTGGTGGTGGTAGTGTTGGTGGTGGTCGTCGTAGTGTTGGTGGTGGTGGTGTTGGCGGCGGTGGTGGTGGTGGTAGTAGTGTTGGTGGTGGTGGTGTTGGCGGCGGTGGTGGTGGTCGTAGTGTTGGTGGTAGCGACCGTGTTGGTGATGGTATTAGCGACAGTAGTCTACATTGTCGACTCACAATCGCGGATTCCATTCGCGGTTGCCATACGGGATAGAAATGGTTTGGCACGTGTCACTTCAACTGATGCCTCTGTTCACCTAGCAATAAGCAGGTATCCGGGAGTTTGAGACAAGTGTGGCGGATGGTATCTTGAGAAACGTCAGTAATTCTACCTAGGAATGACTTAGACATAAGCCTGAGTACAGGCTTAATACTGATGGGCTAGACCAGTATATACATTATACATACCATTTATACGTTAACAAAATGTATGAATCTTATGGATACGCCATAAGCATAATTCATTAATCATCTATTTCAGAAACCTGTTCATCTTTCAACACAAAAGGGGC